GATTAGTCAAGTAAGTCACCGTGTTTATTCACGATTCTTCATTTTGCAGTTATTCTTCCTGGTTGTTCTTCAGCCAAGGACTGCCCAGCATTGTGCAGGGTTCATATGAGGGGCCTTTCCTCACCAAAAGGTCATAAAATGTGAAGATCAGGTCTTGCAGTGGTTGGATTGACTGCCACTTCCCTCTGATGTCAGAGAGGCAGGGCAGCTACTCACGGTCATGAGTTTGAATCAAGACATGAATCCCTAAGGACTATATGTCAGTAATTTCCAGTGCTTTTTTCAGCAGAGGTAAGTTTAAAATTTCTAAAATAAATACATGCATTAAAAAACCCCAGATGTTTTCTAAGAACACATTATCAGAAGTTGGGGCTTTCTTATCCATACTTCATGAGCAGAAAGGAGAATTTAATCTGCTGAAATAAATGACTTCGTATGATTTATGAGCACCTGTTCAAAACTCAATGACTGGATTCCAAGGGCTTTTCCATGAACACCGTACCTTGGCTGCGTGTGGGAGCAATTCAAAATGCTCCTTCCTGGGTTCTCCCTCCTCCAGCAACATCGATCTGCTTGTTGTTCATGTCTCCCTTTCTAAGCCTTTCCTTACAGCTTCTTCAGCTTCGATTAGCTCAAATAATTTGCAGCAACCTGAGCATGTTTTTCTGGTCCTTCTTCTTTACACTTCCTTTTCTGCACATTACTCCCAGTGGGAATCCTCCTTGCAGGGCAGTGCCAGCTCTCCCCCCACTAGAAGCTAAGCATGCATTTTTGCCCTCCGTTGGTGATTTACTGTGTGGGGAGGGAACAAAGCGAGATGTGGTCTCTTACCCGATTTGTATCTATGCCATGTTTGCAGCTTGCTAAATGCTATTCAGCGTTGGCCATAGCTTTTTTTGTGAGGTGTACTATACTGTCTTCTCTTCTTAGTTGTTCAAACAGACTCAGTGAAACCAGTTTTATATTGCTTAGTCTTTTGTTAGCTTATGTTAAATATGATGGTGTTGCAAGTTCACTTTGTTACATTTAAAAGGTTGTAAATTCATTGATTTGTTATCCTGAGCCGTTTTTTTAACAAGTAAAGAAATCCCTTTTATCTGCATCTGCATTTAACTAAGTCACCTTTCAAGTATTACAGGAGAGAGGCTTTTACAGCATACTAACTGAGGGATGTTAAGCTGAGCTGTCTGCAACTGCCAAGATAACGACACTGGTCCAAACTTTGTTAGCCTGCTGTCTTGTGGGACAGTCAGGATTTTTAGTGACGGTTTGTTTTTGCTTACTACCAGACAATCTTAATGGCTTCAGCTGCCAGTACTTCTGCATGTTCATACTTTTAACTGAGTAATCTAATTAATTTCACTAGCATGCCTAAAACAGAGCCTGTGCTTAGCTGTTCAGAGACAGTAATGTCAAAAGCCTTTACTGATGCTATCTTCTCCAAAATGTATCACTTTCTTGCAGCGTGACTTATTTGACCCTTTATTTTCCAACAGTCCCTCAGCTTTATTATCCATGTATCTCTTCAAAATGACTGGTGGCAGAGACATGCAAATAGATCATTTAATTTCCCTGCAATGTCTTTATCTCCTTTAATTGTTCCCATTGCACCCTGGTACTCCACTGAGCCTTTTGATTCTCTCACAGCCTGCTTACACCTCTTATAATTAAGTAATTTCTTCTTATTTATTTTCATGTTACGCCTTTGGCTAATCTCTCCACCAAATCCCTCAGCTAAACCATCTTCATTTTTGTTTTACAGTATTGTTCCTTACCACTAGCTTCTGTTGGGCTAACTTCCCATTTTCCAAAGGATATTTGAAGAGCCTCTTTTGTGGTACCTTTCCATTCAGCCAAGGCAGATAGGCTCTCTCTCTCCCTCCTCCTTTTTGTCTTTCTGGGGCTTGTGCAAATCTTTTGTAACTCATTAGTGGCTCACTTCAGTGGGCTCCATGCCGAATACTTACAGCACCTTACACATTTCCCTTTGTGCAATAGTAATTTATTTCACTTTTTTTTTTTTTTTTTTTTTTTTTGTGAGAGGGTTGAACTGGTGGGGAGGGGGGTTGGAGGAGGAAAGGGAACATTAAGCAAAGGAACAAAAGAGATGGACTAATAGAAAGTGGTTCTGTGTTCATGCATAGAAAATGATTTGGATGCAAATCAGTCACACAGCTGAATGATTTGTCTCAAAGCCTCAAGATTAGGGAGCAGAGGGCTTCAGCCTCAAGTGGCACTCTGTCTGATTTCTATCCAGACCCTGCATTCACAAAACAGCGTGCCTGCAAAGAGCCCACCTGGAGGACTTGTGTGCTGCTTTCATGTCTCCTCGTACTCATCTGAAAAACACCTTTGTGTTCACTTTGAGTTATTTCCTACACCATGTCTTAAAACTGCAAATACGTAGAGGGGGGAGGTATCTGGGCAGGGGAGAGCCAGATTAGTTACACACTAAGAAAAGTGGGTGCCGTGTCTCCCAGGCAAATAACTTCTACTGAAAGTACAGGGAAGTACAGGTGAGTAATTGCTTGATAACCTGTTAATTTGGATTAGGAATTTAAGATTGGAATTCCTCAGCATAGAGTCCGAGAGGAAGATTTTGCACTCAGTCAAATGAAATATTTCATTGTGATTTAGAGTTTAAGTGGATTACAGAAAATACCTTGTATGCACCATTTCCATACAGCCCCACCAGTACCCCATACTGTAATTTACATTACAGTGATGTAAATCATTACACCACCTTTAAAAGCATCAGAGGTAGCAGGATCATGAATATGAGTTTAAATGTTCTATTAAGAAAACTTCTTCCCACAAATGAAGGGTTGAAACCTGTTCTGATCACAGTGTGACCCTGTTTTCACACCTTCATAAAACAAGTATTCAGTTCACTTTAAGATTTGCAAATGTGGGGTTAAATCGAGCTCTGGATTAGTCCGTCTTCCCCAATCTAGCCAGAAAGCCCATCCATGGATGATAATATCATTCTGTATCTACTCAACAAGAGAGTAGAGAAGGCTGGCATGTGTGTGAGGACACTTTTGGAGCCACTGCGCACCTCTGGGAGCTTCCATGGGGCAGTTCTTGTGGAAGGCTGACCTCCTTGAATAGGGATGCTGGGGTAGAGTAGTGTAGGATATATTAAGTAGATACGGTCTAGAGTTGCAATCGCTTTTTTCATCACGGAAAATCTAGTAATTTGATGCTGCTGCTTGAAAGCCATCACCCATTTCAGCTGAGCAGTGGGTAGTATATTCATATCACAGTTTTCTGAAATAAATTTAGACTAAAAAGAAATGTCAATTGCCAATCCAATAGGTATTCCTTCGCCTTATGTTGCTAAGGAAAGTACTCCTTCAGTTTGTCTGTTTAGCACAGCTTCCCCATACAATTTGAAAAGGTCAAGGTTGTCCTGTTGCTGCAAATGAGGAAGGGGTGGTCCGGTACCCAGCAGCAATACAGTTAAATATCTTTAAGCTCTATGTATTGCAAGTTGCCTCAGCAATTATACTTCAGAGAAGCTTCTAACTTTTGCAGAAAGACACAGTTCAGGAACAGCTTTTTCAAGGGATCATGTCTTCAGAGAAGGAATGTACATTTCCACTCATAACCTGCTGAGAGAAAAGAGAAAGAATAAGAAAACACTTCACCATTTACTTCTTATAGAAATTTATCATGTGTTGCTGCCATTCAGGGGTAGAGGTCTTGATGGTAGAGAAGTTTGTTTTGACTGCACATAGGTTTTTTCTCACAGGCAGAATTTGAAACAACGCTCTTGTAGGCTTAGATGGCTTGTTTTAAATTAAAGAAAACAGCAGAAAAGGATTAAATGAAAATCTCCGTGGGAGAACATGGTATAAGCCTTCTCTGTAACAAACCTCAGGCCTCATCAAAATTTGAGAATTATGCAGAAGTAAAGCAGACTGCAATAGCAGTATGTTACAATTTCATTTTACAGAAGGTTAAGCTGTACCTTTTGAAGCTTTCTTTGCTTGTTGCTCTCTAAAAGAATCTGTTGTTTGTAAATCATCTTAATGGGAAGGACAGGTGACAAGAGGGCCTGATTCAGCTTACTCAGGTGTAAATATGGATAAAAGTTATTAAAGAGTCCAACTCTCGCTTTTGCAAAATGCATGAGATGGAAGTAGAGAGCGGCCCAGGCTTCCCAGTGCGGACTTTCACATTAAAGAAAACACGTCAACATTTTCTTCTCTGTCACTTGCTATCTCCTTCAGGGCCTCCATGGTTTCTAATTATTCTCCCAGAGCTGAAGGAAGCCTTGCATCCAGCCTATTGGTAGCTGTTAATTAATAAAGAGTTCCCATTTTGAGTGGATGCAGCTATTTTCCATGTTGCATTTGGTTTGCAGAAATAAGGCAACAGTCAAACTTTATTGTGCAAAGCCTGGGATCATTCCCTCCACTCAAGCAGGAAGCCAGGGAGCCTAGTTGTAACCATACCATTTATATTAATATCAGACTGATTTATTTCCTTTTCTGATTTTCCTCTTTATAATAGAAAGAAAAGAAGGGTGGTGGGGAATTGGGAATTGAACAAAAAAACTGGTAACGTATAGAGCAGGGGTTTAAATTAATAGCCTGAATCCATTTCATTTCACCACAGATAAATATTTTCCAAGTAGCTTAAGGAGCAGGGGTTTAAATTAATAGCCTGAATCCATTTCATTTCACCACAGATAAATATTTTCCCAAAGTAGCTTAGCTAAAATCTATTGTAAGGAATGCCAGAAGAATGGAAAAGATTTAATTCAGGGTTTATTTTATCCACCAGTGAGCAGGACTTATCACATCAAGCAGAGGAATGTGAGTTTCAGAGTGGGAGCACTTTAGTGACACCTCTGAAACCACTCTCTTTTCAGAAGAATTTTACCAGAATAAATCCCCGTCCCTTGCTCATGTCCCATCCACAGCAAAGCTGAGTATCTTGAGTTTTGAAGATAACTGCAACCATTGACTTTTTTTTTTCTGCTTTGACTTTAGGAACTCCTTCATAGATATCCTTCGGGCTATCCTACTGTCCTTGGAAGTGCTCATCGAAGATCAGGAGCTTCAGATAAATGGCTTCATTCTAATTATAGACTGGAGCAACTTCTCCTTCAAGCAAGCCTCCAAGCTTACGCCATCGATCCTCAAACTGGCCATTGAAGGGTTACAGGTAGGTAGAGTACATGTACCCGCAACTTTTATTGCTGCAGCCAGTGATTTTTGCCTCAGCAGGCACTGGGCAGGGTGAAGGGTGGTGGGAGAAAATAATCCAGAACGCTTTAGTGTCCCATCCACTCGCAGCATAGATTGATTTTCAGACATTTAATTTTGACTGTCTTTCACTTTTATTTAAGCTGTAAATCAGCGTAACCAGTATGTGTGTTACTTACTGCAGCATTAGACGGATGGTTAGAGATTTGAGGTTTAATCCATCAGAGAATTCAGGGGGATTAAAAACCAGCAGCGTCTGCCTTCTGGAGTGTGCAGTCCACATGCAAGCACATCTGTATGCAGAGGGAGGGTGGCAAGAGAAGAGAGCAGCTCCCTCAGCAGATGGAAGTGTGCTGTTGTGTTCACGCGGATGCATTTGTGTCGGAGGGAAATGAGGAAGAAGGAGGACAGGCTCCCTGTTGTGTCCTCATTCTGACTGTCTTCATTTGTCACACAGGATCCTGTTACATTATGGTTCAGACTGTTCAGGGGCTGCGCATCCACTTGGTGCTTGCAAATAAATAGGAGCAAGCTAAAACCATATGCTGTTACGGGGTTAGGTGGAAAGTGAGGACAAAGCAGCTAGGGACTGATGGGGCAACCTGAGGATGAGGTTAAGCTGTGGTGCTCTGAGAGGACTTCAGTCCTTTCCACTAGAGTCTGAGCCCATCACTGCTGTTAGACCTGAGATGGATTTTTAGGTTTGAAGTAGTCTGCACAACCTTATTAATTGTGGGCATTTGACAGAATCCAGGGACTATTTAGGTTGGAAGGACCTCTAGAGATCACCTTGTCCAACCCCCTGCACAAAGCAGGGCTGATTTAATCTTAGACCAGGTTGCTCAAGGACCACGTTTCATGTAGCTCCATATTTAAAAGGAAAGATTTTATAAGTCACTGGTTTTCCATTTTATTTTTAGTACTTTTCAGGTGTCCTGCAGTCATAAATACCTCAGGAATAACCTTCCCTGGTGTGTGTGTATCTTAATTTTAACTCATATACTAGAAAGAACAATTTGTTCAACTGATTTTTTTGACTAACAAATTGTCTACAATTAGATCATGATTATTTCTACTTTATGTTATTATTCAAAAATGAGGTAGAAAAATCTGCCAGCAGGTTTAAGCCTGTGTTCCCCTTTGTGGGGAATTTTCATCTATTCTAACAAATTAGGAAGTCAAGCTGCGCAATTAGTCCCTAGGACAATACCTTATCTTCTCCTGCTGATACTATCACTTCATCTGCCTTCCTTCACAGAATAACATTCTGTGGTTCAAAAAAACCCCTCCAGTCAGAGGGAAGAGAAAGCCAAGTGACATTCATAAGGAAATCAAATTCCAGCAAGGTGTCCTTGTGCCTGTCCAAATTTTGCACTTCCAACTCTCCAGTAAGAGGCCAGTCCAGCCTTCATCCCATCTGATTTCTGACCACAGCACTGCCAAGTTTTCTGCTTACTGTGTGGGAATGAGGGGACATGTCCACCTTATGGCAGCTCCAGCTTTGAGCGGTGGACCAACCTGATCTCCTTCTATGACCAGGTGACCTGCCTAGTGGATGAGGGAAAGGCTGTGGATGTGGTCTGCCTGGACTTCAGCAAGGCCTTTGACACCGTCTCCCACAGCATTCTCCTAGAGAAGCTGGCGGCTCACGGCTTAGACAGGTGGACTCTGCGCTGGGTCAAAAACTGGCTGGACGGCCGGGCCCAGAGAGTTGTGGTGAATGGAGTTCAATCCAGTTGGCGGCCGGTCACGAGCGGTGTTCCCCAGGGCTCAGTTTTGGGGCCGGTCTTGTTCAATATCTTTATCAATGATCTGGATGAGGG